TTTTTTTATTTAAGTTGCCCTGAAATCCCTTAAATGGTACAGGAAATACATCTTGATACGACAAAGTTTCAACTTGGTTGCTTCATTTACTTTAGGTCACAATAATGAAACTCAACTGTTTCAATGTACTGCTCTGATGACCTGTCAAATTATGCCTCAATTGGGAGGAGCAAACATGTTACACTCAAATTGGTATGAAGTTATATGCTACGTGATATTGTATGAAACATTTGAGCAACAAATCTAACTTGTGTTGTGTTTGTTGAATGAGAGTTCCATAAAACATTATGTTTCTTAAAACTTTGGTGCAGCAGAGTGTGAACTATATGTTTTTTGTACCTATTGAGCAACTGTTTCGAAATGTTACTAAAAAGTTGACGAACCAAGATATGTTGAAAAACGTATTTGCAATCTTGTTCCAATTAAGCGTATGAATCTATAAGTTTTCAAACTTCGTTTTGCAACCAACTGAATCAAGTAGTTACTGTAAAGGTTTGTTGTAACCATTTAGTGTCTACCATGGCTCAAATATGTCTTGTCACTTTGATGTTGTAAAATATTTTTGGTTAACATTGGCAAAAGCGGAGAAATCGTAATGCATGTGCTAACATCTGCATAGGAAATGGAAGACCACGACGAGGATGATAGGATTACGGATGGCGGGGGACGATGGTGACTTAAGACGATGCCAACAGCGGCTGGCGTGGCCGGGTGTTCCAAAGTGCTAAATAGAACAGTGAGAAGCCTGAGGTGACGATGGATTGGTTGTTGCGTGAGCTGGGGGAAGCAAATATGTTGATACCGCCGAACGGAGATGTGGCCGTTGAGACGGAGCTCGTATTTGTCAGAAGTAGTGGCTCATAATGCTGAAACCTAATGGCTGCTGGCGGAGGAGCTGCACCGATGTCGCTACCGCTCGGTGTCACATTGCTACTGACAAGTGACGTTTAAAACACGCACATACTCAACAAATTCAATGATTGTTCAAACTACGCATTTGCTACTTATTTTCAACATAACTGGAACATGGATACCATCGATAATACGTAATGGTGCAGTTATGTTGACAAATCGTTGCGATGTTGTTGCAGTTCAATATGAATCATTAATTTTAATATCCACTCATCTGCAACGTAAAAAATACTTGTTGTAAACTTTTCATAATGCCTTCAAAAATAGCTACATTATTGTAACGTACTATTTAACATGTTTGCAACAGTTCAGTGAGCTGGATTATATCTGGATGAACCGTACACTACCGGCCGAAATTATGTTGCTATAATTTAAAATGTTCACAAATATTTCAAACATTAAAAAATTAAATCAATTCAGAATTTTACACTTGTTAATGGTTATGAGAGGGCTTTTTGATGTGTTATCGGTGCAGGAAATTAAAGAACTATAAAAAGTTCTCCATTTTGGTTGACTCTATTTTCTTATGGTGTAATGTTGTTCAGGTGAAGGCTTTGATTTGTATTTTGTCAAAATTTCGATAGAAATCTTTGCTTTATAATTATAAATTATTTTTTTAAAGATCCGAATGATGACTAGATGATTATGAAAAGAAGTTTTACGGTTGGTGTAATTGACGTAATGAAAGCGCTTTAAATCTCGCACAATAAACTGGGAGTTTGAATCCTTAGGGTTTGAAGTATGAACTCTAAGCGTTGAAATATTGATCCTATTCACTAATTATTGGATAGTAATATTATAATCGACCAAGGTGTCCAAAAGCAAGGTGTATTAACAATATGTATTAACCAGAAATTGATCATACGCAGCAGCTTGCTGGTATATTTATTCGGAATCCGTAACCGCTCAAGTTTTCTCATGTTTTTAGAGAATATTGACGGTTAAATACATTTTTTTCAGACATCATCGCACAAAGATGGACTCAAAGCCGCAGAAAATCAACCTTTCGGTTTTGTTGGGAGTCCAACTTTCTTCGATGAGATTTAAAGCGTTTTGTTACATGCTAATTTTCTATGAAATCTTTGGAAAAAAATGATTTTCTTGGATTATTTATTTATTTTTCAACATTTGGGATCATCCACAAATTTAGTACCGGAATGGGGGGAGAGAAGGGTTGACATTTTCATACATTAAATTTAGTAGGTGAAAAACATAATTTTATCTTAAGCGATTTAATGTCAAAACATCTCCAAATACATTAAATGCGCAAATGCATGTAAAAGTTTACCCAAATCGATATCTACCGATCGACTGAAAATTTTAAAATCTTAGAAAGACTTTCGGGGGAAGGGTTGCGAACTGCAATTTTTACAGAGTCTTACAAGGACGGGAGGGTGATTCAATAATCATTCAAAAACCCTTACATAATTTGTGGATGTCTTCCTATTAGAAAAATCAAAACGCACCTGAAAAAAATTGAACTGGTAAATTTTCGTTTGATTTTCAAACCCCCAATGTCAAAGTTTACACTATTTCAGTTCATAATATTTTCAGAATCAAAAGATTTTTTAAATACTGCAATGCCCATCAAAACTTAAGAAGTTTGCGGTTCTATTGCAATGGATAGATGAAAATATTCTGTTCAAAAACAACGAAATTATGAAAGTTTCAGCATTTTTCAGTAAAAGACAGTGGGGGTTTGCGAGTTAAAGTCATTAATTCCAATTGGTTTACAGGCTTTTTTAATTTGTTTTTATTTTATTTATTTATTACCTTTTTGATTGATTGATTTTTAAAATCGATAAAAATTTATAACATTTATTTTATTAAAAAATATGTTTAAGTTTAAATAGATGCATAAAATACTTCTTCAAACTAGTTTTTAAGAATTTTGAACGCAAACATAAACATAAACTTTCTGTCAGCTAAAACAATTAAAATTAATAGGATCTATCGATACTGCATAAAAAACGCTTATTTGGTTTAAAAAAGGTGATCACTTATTAGGCCTTGATTGATTGTTACTTGTTAAGTATTTATTTTAAATTAACTATGGACTAACTAAACTCCTAACTAATTAGGAGTCTGTTTTAGTTGCCCACTGATGTGATGGGGTGTGGTATCTACCAGCTTGTCAGAATATTTTGTGGGTGATTGGCTCACAACAGCGCGCTACCTTGCCTTAGAGAGCAGAAAAAGTGCCTGGGTACATTATTTAGAGTGACCACTGACTATCCCATTAATTATTACTTTTTTTAAACATAATTTTGAGTTTTAAGAACTCATCATCATGCTAATTTCATTCGGTTAGAATGAAACCAAAAATTAATCACATTCGCAAACACAACCGCACATACATATTAATATGGTTGTACTGAACATGTTTACCCGCAATGTAAACAATTAGAATGCTGTTGGTAAACTGGCAGCCATATGTTATCCACCAGAAATAAACATAATAAACTTATTTTTCAATTTATTCATGTTTCAAACCCTATTTACATAAAAACGTGAAATACTTATTACAGCTGTAATATTTTCCAATAGTTTGAATATAAATATTTTTTTTAGAGATCAATTTTTTATTTCGATATATTTTTAAGCTGCGAATTTGTGGCATCAATTTGTAAGTTTTTGAAGGCGTACATATTTAATCGAAGCAAAATGTGTAATTTCACCATAACACTAGATGCGTTTGAGAAAATGGACTAGTTATCAATATTTGAAAGTCATTCATTTCGTACTTTTATTCAAATGACTTTTTCTACGATTGTCATCTCTGATTTTGCAGTCTAAATAAAAACATCAGTATGCTTTTTCCGCATCACCTCACAAAATATCCAATACATTTATGTGGTTAACTTGAATGTCATTTACATGTATTTGGAAACATCACAGTACTGTTTTAAATATTTCAGTGAAACATTGCAGTTAAGTCAGTTAAAACCTCATTTACAACTTGTGTCATTCATATATCATGTTGCATGCACCTTATTTGCAACACCTTATGCCACAAACATAAGTTGCAAAGAGACTCCACCTTCTGCGCTTTTTAAGGTACAATGAAGTTTTATATGCGGTGCGTTGTCTATAATTTAGACCGTCTATTAGTCACACTAAGGTTGTTGTTACTCGCTTAGAAACAAATGGTGTTGCTTGGGTATGTTCCTATCAAAGACGTGTTGGCAACCCGCGATCTCTGCTATATGCAGTCGATTTATGTGTTTCTGCAAAAGTCTAGTATAAGAATTGAATTCCTCTGTCTTTTGTTTATCTTTATTAGTTTTTGTTTGTCTTGTCCATCCATCTCGATAAGTTTCATCGTCGCCATAGCCGGGCGAACTCCAGACAAAGCTAGAACTGCACTACCGTTCATACTGGCGACAACTCTCTGATGAGACAACGAAACCCCACCCAAGCTCCTCCCCTGATCCTATCCTTCGACAATGTACCCCTCTAATCTGGGGTAAGCCGCGAGTATTCGGTCCAACTCCTACTAGACATAGAAATAAGTTAATTTTGTTACAACCAATGAACAATAAGTTATCGGCTCAATAAAGCTTACGCGATTGATCCTGACAAATAAACTAACTAGATAAAAAACTACTAGCTTAGAGTCTATTCCGTTGATAACATCATCCAACAGTTCAGCTGATGTAGTAGATGACTATTCCCTAGCTGAAAACCATTCTAGAGTTTATCATAATTTTAGTAAGTTTTTTTAATAAACTTACTTTGTTGACCACGTGTTGAAGAAGATCTTGCAGATGGTTATCGTAAGGATGCTTGTTCAATCGTTCAATATTGTTGTTTTAAATTCTGACCAACGACCACAAATTGAAGTTCATCCAAAGACAATTCCTTGCTAATGATTTGAGTGTGTTTGGTTGACAGCGAGTAATAAGTTGATGTAATGTCGGCAAAGCATTTGTGCAACATCCTGAACCGTTCCAACAATATTTATATATTTTTAATCCATATCAAACTTACGATGACAGTTTTAGTAAGTGTCACATTTTCCCTCTCTTCGTGGTAAAAATAGTAAAATAATGTCTCAGTTTTGCCATATTTTTCCTCCATCTTTTCAGGATCCAATTCCTCTGTATTTTGACACATCTGCAACATTCAATAATGTTTCGAATCCATGCATCCAAGTGACTGGTGAATCGGCCAGGCACGGTCGAACTATTGGCGGAGAAGATTGCTTATATCTCAATGTGTACACAACATACGTCCGCGTCCGCACAAGACCACGTCCATTGATGCCAGTGCTAGTTTGGATTCATGGGGGTAGCTTCACTGAAGGATCATCAGAAACTGATATATTTGGTGCCGATTTTATATTAGACGAGGTACATTTTTAGAAGGCAAGTTGAACGTGAGTTCAGGTTTGTTTTTAATATTCCAGGATGTAATTGCTGTCACATTCAACTACCGTTTGGCATCATTGGGATTCATGGGCATAGTAGATTTGAATATTGCATCCAACTTGGGACTCAAAGATCAGACAGAGGCTTTTCGATGGGTCAAACGAAATATTAAATCCTTTGGAGGGGATCCCAAACGAGTCACTCTAGTGGGTTGGAGTTCCGGAGCTGCATCTGCTACGTACCATATGTACACACAAGCTTCCAAGGGATTATTTAAGCATGTCATAGCCATGAGTGGAACAATGACACAACCTTGGGCATACAATTTTATTACTCAGTACTGTAGTTACGAATATTTAAAGAAAATCGACGCTACCACTAAAGAAGAGCTAAAAGCAAGACCAGCAAAATTAATGATACCGTTTGATAGTCCCAGATTTCACTATCTAGCGCTCACTCATTTATGTTACATGCCAGGCGAGGACAGCATGTATGCACCAAAGAACCCATACGACATGGTACGAGTGATGGCCCCCGTTAGCGATGTTCCACTTCTCATCGGAAGCACAGCAGTAGAGCACGATAATATATTCAATCACAGAGATTTCAGTATGGATCAATTCAATTATCCAAATGACAATGCTACCATCTACGAACGCATCAGAGATTATCTCGAGCATTCTCGCACGAATCGTTCCGCCAGAATATTCTATCGAAAGCTGGGCTCTTTCGCTGACTTCCAGTTTGGACAGCAATATTTCATCGACGAGGCTTCGCGTCGGTTCAAGTCACCCATTTATCGTTATCGGTTCTCGTTTGACGGCCCATTTGCCTACGCCAAAAATATGTATTACCGCGATGCCATATATCCTATGCCCGGCGCCATGCATGGAGACGATCTGGGATATCTCTTCACGCCGTACAACTACCAGAGTGTCATTACATCCAACGGAATCAACGAACCACTCGTCAAAAAAGCACTCAAAGTTCAACGTCGCATGGTGCGCCTGTGGACAAACTTTATCAAATACGGGTAAGTCCATGCCATTAATCATTCATATATCTCACTCCGTTTCACGGGTTTACTTTTCACACCTTCGAGACCGATAGAACCATTCATCTGCATATAAATCGTATTTGTTTAAGGGATTTTTCCAATCTGCATCGCAAATAGTGCCCCGAGAATGGTAATCAATCACACGAAATTCATTCAATTAGCTTTCTAACTCAACACCCCCGCCGCGACTAGGAAAATTTATGCTGTACGCGACCGGAATCAATTTCATGCGTTTTGCGCCTCATTGAGCAAACAAACCGATGAACGATGCGGACTACGGGTAAACCAAGAATCCACACACCATTATAGGCAATCGGCACTAAGAACTGCACTTTCACACGTTCGATGCGGCTTGTGGGTGAAAAAAGAAACGGAAATATTTGCATAACCCATTATGCGATTGCGGTATGAAAATAAAAACCTGAAACGAAAACGTATGAATTGATGAATGTATTATTTTCTTTATGTTTTAGTTTGATCTGTTGGTCGACTAGTTAAGTATTAGTATAACTGGAACTATTTACTTTTACTACCTTTTCGTGTTATGTTTCGAATCTCGTCTTATTCATCAAATCTAATTGTTCCTAATTTACTTCAATTTTGATTCGTTTGAATTGGTATAATTGATGGTATCACATCAAATTTCATATCTACATGGTGTTCAATAAGTTCGAATACACTTTAAAAATGTGTTAAAAAAATAAAGATATTCATTTCTGAGTAAATTTGTATTGAAGCATTGTTTATTAAGAACCTTTACGACATTTTAGCTGGGAGCACCTCCCTTTGTGCTGTATGACGAGCTTGAGACGTTTCTCAAAAGAATCGCATCGCTTCTTAAATTGGTTCATAGTGCTCACTTGATGTTCGCTCTGCTTGTCCAGGGGATTAAGGTCCCGGGTCCCGGGAGCTGGGAGGCCACAAAGTCTTATCGAAGTACCGGGGCCACAACCTTCTCCAGAACCACGGTGTTATAGTACGCGGTGTTGATTTTCACGTTTTTCTCGATAAACACCAGTGGGAGCTTCCCACGCCTGGATACGCCCCCACAAACCATCCCCCGCACGGCGCTCTGGAATCGCGGGATATTTATTCGCGACGGGGGGATGCTGTTGCAAGACAAAGAGTTTCTCATCAGAAAACACCTGACTTGCGTGCCGCGATAGTATCAGTTTGGCTCAGTCCAGCCTCTTCTTCGTTGTAGTTTACTATATTCCGTTTACTTTCGGACTTCTAATGAAAACACTACGGAGAGCATGTCCGTCTAGATCAATTAGAGAATGGAAAGTGAGCTCTTGGTTCTTTATTCAGTTTCTCTTAAATACTAGCTTACATTTGTCTTCCTTCGGTCAGGTACGCGACCTCAAACATGCGAGTAGGTAAATAATAACATAATGGTGTGATGCTTGACATTGGATGCAGGCATGCATTCCAAACTTAGTTTATTGTGGGTAAGCTTAAGGTTAAAGCGTTTTTATGTTGATGTTTATTGTATGATGTTCTTTGGTAAAACCGTTGGTAACAATAAGAAGGTTTTAGTGTAGACAAAAGAAATGATATCACTAGTTTACAGCATTTTTGAACTCGGTAAGGTGATGATCATTTCCAATGCAAAATCTTACGCTGAATTCAATGCCGTGGTCAGAAAAAAATAAAGTAGAGTAATTTTTGAGATATACAAAAATTTTGATTTTTTGAATTTTGGACAAAAGTACGATTACTAAAATGTCAATATCTTTGGAACTAGTGCACCAATTTTAAATCTTTTTTATGAAAATGAAGCTAAATAAATTTGCTATCGTTCATTAGAATATTCTGTCTTAATTAAAAAATTTAATTTTAAAGTGATTTAAAAATTTACAGCATTTTTTTTATTTTTCCTGCGAATTTTCCATAAACATCTTGTTTTAATCAACATTTTTAATAGGATAAAAATGTAAAATCATTCCATAATGTATTCTTAAAGTCCATTCAAAACTGGAGAAAATGAGCCTTTAATGGATGAAATCGGTTGGAAATTGTCGAAGTTATGAGCATTTTTGTAAAACACTTAAAAATGTTGCTGAAATACAACAGCTTTAGAGTTCCTTTTCTAGGTGTCGTTGTAAGCATCCAAATCGCATGTAAACTTTTCATGGGAGATTCTTTTCTCTACATATCAATTTGATTAAGGCATATCAGGATTTAAAACCGAGTTGATACAAAAGAAATTTATTTAGGTTTTATTAAAAATGATTGAGAATCGAATGACTTTGTCTTCGATGTTTTGAACTTGTTTCTTGAATCAGAAACCAACAATAGTCACCCATCATTGCTTCATCCCAAAACCCTTGGTAACGACGTTCCATCATCTTCATTTGTTGGTGAAAACGTTCGCCGTGCTCATCACTCTCGTCACCAAGATTTCCCGGGAAAAAATCCACGTGAGAATGTAGGAAATGTATCTTCAAAGACATATTCACACCTGTGTTCAGTGAAATAAAAAGATTTGAAATTAATTGAAAATATGTAACAAACACAATATTTTTGATTTATACCTATTTTCTCATAATTTTTGAGCAATTCATCGACGGTTTCCTCATAATCTGGGCTTCTGAAATTTCCTAAAAAGGTTGTGACAACACGCTGGAACGATTTCCACGCTTCTTCCTCATCTGGTGTCAAAACTGTATTGAATGCGGAATCATTGAGCAGTTTTTTGATCTGTGGGCCAACAAATACACCTTCCTTTATCTTTGCGTCAGATAAATTTGGAAATACTGATTTCAAGTACTGGAATGCCGGCCCTTCTTTTTGCAACGCTTTGACGAAATTTTTGAATAGCCCAAGTTTTATATGTAGTGGTGGAAGTATTATGCGTTCTTTTACCACAAGAGGATCATTTTTAACGTTGTCTTTACCAATTGTGAAATTATCCCGTTTTTGGCCAATCTTTTCGGACGTAGTGTTCCTTACGAGATCGACTGTCCCATTTACACAAAAAAAAACATATATTTTGTGTATCCCTGTTGCAATCCCGTCAACATGGCAACCACTTTAAGATCGGAACAAATTTTCCAATTGTGTTGATTGTAATTTATCAAATTGAGCAATAGAGCCATTGATTCATACGTTTCCTTCATATTAACGGCATGAGCTAATGGAATAGAAGGTTTCTCATTCCCTTGATGCAGTAAAACGGCTTTCAAGCTCAACTTGCTGCTATCGATGAATAAACGCCTTTCAGCTGGATCATATGGCTCACCAAACTCTTCAAACAAGCCGTTTACGTCATGGCAAAAACATGCCTTGTCCTTTGTAGAATAATATTTGTCAAATTTCTTGTGACGATTCCTGTGACAAGAAATTTTGACCTCCTTGCTCAGCATGTTGTGTTCTTTCAAGCGTGATGCCAGCAATTCGGATTTCTCCTTCGATAAGTCGAGATCTCGCACCAAATCATTAAATTCGGATTGTGTAAACAGTTTTGGGTTTCTTTCCAATTCCACCTCGAAGTCTTCCTCGCATTCCTCCTCACTTTTTGTAACGGTCGATTCAACAGAGGGCGCTCGTTTCCGCTTTGGATAAACAGGATACGGGACCGAACTTGAATGTGGAACAGGTTTTGTCATAGAAGCCACTTGTGGATACTCAACTGTTTTGTGACGTCCTTGTTGCTTAACTTTTGTCAAGCAGAAATAACAATCCGTTGCATGACAAAACGGTTGACGCCATATGGTGGGCATGTCAAAGGACAAATAGCGACTGACAGATAACAAATAAGTGAGTTAGTAAGTAAGACATTAACACTTATCAAAAATAGATGAAGTAAGATAATTTCGATCAGGAAAGAACAAAGCACTACCATGCTGTACATAAATTGTTTATATGAAAGTTATTCAAAAAATCAATTTATCTTGCGCCTGACATCCACCTAGCCAAGCACGTTTTGCACGAACTACATAATACTTTTGGAATCCACGGTTCGTCAAAGTCTCCAGGATCAATTTTAAAATAAAGCCTGTATGCAGTTTGCAACGAAGCAGTGAAATTGACCGATTTTGTAAATATATAGTTGCCACACGCGTAACAAAACTTTTGAGGATCATTTTTACACTTGAATTCACGTTTTGTCGTATACATCGTTAAGCAATGTTAAAGAAAGAAAGCTGTCAAATTGAGTTGGTTGCGTTAGGTTCTCGCCGAGCGGTCTCACAAACACTAGCGTAAATTATATTGTTGAAAATATCCCATTTAATTTTGCGTGACAGCTGGTAGTGTTAGTGAAATGCACCGTATGCGTACACGTCCGCAGAAAGGCTTACTGGAAGTGGTGCATAAACCTAGGAGCGGGACAACGGCCAATCTTGGAACATTCAATTTCCATGATTTTACAAACATAACTTCGACAATTTCCAATCGATTTCATCCATTAAAGGCTCATTAAGAATAAATTATGGAATGATTTTTTGAATCTTTATCCCATTAAAAATGTTGATTAAAACAAGATTTTTATGGAAAATTCGCAGGAAAAATAAAAAAAAATGCTGTAAATTTTTAAATGATTTCAAAATTAAATTTTTAATCAAGACATAATATTCAAAAACGATAGCAAATTTATTAAGCTTCATTTTCATAAAAAAAAGATTTAAAATTGGTGCACTAATTCCAAAGATATTGACATTTTAGTAATCGTACTTTTGCCCAAATTAAAAAAATCAAATTTTTTGTAGATCTCAAAAATTGCTCAACTTTAATTTTTTCTGACCACGGCATTGCATTCAGCGTAGGATTTTGCATTAGAAACGTTGGTCAACCACTAAAGTTCACACTTTTTATGTTGTTTTGTAAACTAGTGTATTTAGTTGCCAGTTAAAGATTTGGGAATTTACGTTGATTGTTTATTGCTATTGCTGGTTATGGTTATTATGGGTTTTCCTAGTGTATGCTAATATGCTACACCTCCCCTCTTTAGGAAAATGGTGTAACCATTCGGA